CCCAAATTTCCCCTATTTTTCTCCTTCCAAGACCCTTTTCCCCCCAAAATTCCCTCAAAATTCCCCCAAATGCCCCTAAAAACCCCCAAATCCCCGAATTCTTCTCCAATTCCCCCCAATTTTTCCCAAAAATTCCCAAATTTTCCCAAATTTCCATTTCCCAGGACCTTTTAACTCCCAAAAATCCCCTTTAAACTCCTCCCAAAATTCCCATTTTTCCCCAATTTTTCCCCAATTTTCCCCCAATTTTTTCCCGATTTTTTTCCCAGTTTCTTCCCAGAATTCCCCAAATTCCCAATTTTCCCAAAATTCCCGTTTTTTCCCCATTTTTAGGCTATGGCACCCCGGTCAGAGTGGATGAAGTTTCCTTTCACAGTTCCCTTCGTCTCGATGAATTCGGCTCCTCCCGAATCCTCAGGGTCACCCCCACCCCGGGGGAGGTGGGAATTTGGGGTGAAAAATCGGGAATTTGGGAAAATTTGGGAATTTTGGGGAAATTTGGGGCAGTTTGGGGAAAAAACGGGGGAAAAAAAAGGGGAATTTTTGGGGAAAAAATGGGATTTTTGAGGGAAAAAAGGAGATTTTTTTAATGGGAAAAAGGGGATTTTGGGGGCAAAAAATGGGATTTTGGGAAAATTTGGCAGAATTTGGGAAAAATTGGGGGATTTTGGGAGGAATTTTGGGGGAATTCTGGGAATTTTGGGGTGACTTTAGGAGCTGAAAAGGTCCTGGAAGGGTAAAAAAAGGGGAGAAAAAGCCAATTTTGGGGGTTTTTTTGTGGGAATTTCACGGGAATTTTGGGAATTTTGGGCTCCGGACCTTCTGAGCCCCCGGAAATTCCCAAATTTGGGAGATTTCAGGGAATTTTGGGGTGACTTTGGGAGGTTTAAAGGTCCTGTCAGGGTAAAAAAAGGGCAGAAAATCCCAATTTTTTGGGGTTTTTTGTGGGAATTTCACAGGAATTTTGGGAATTTTGGGCTCCAGGCCCTCCCAGCCCCCAAAATTCCCAAATTTTTGGTTTTTTTCCCCAATTTCCAGATGACTCTGATGCAGTACCAGGTGATGGACGAGATCCCGACGCCGCTGCCGTTCCGGCTGTTCCCCAGCCTGGAGTGTGAAACCACGGGAAGGTGGGAAAAATGGGGAAAAAACAGGGAATTTGGGCAAAAAAAATGAAAAAAAGGGGGAAAAATCTGAAAAAATGGGAAAACCCCCAAAAAATCGATGGGGGGGGACCTAAAAATGGGGAAAGAAATCCAAAAAAATGGGGGAAAAACCTAAAATTTGGGGAAAAAAACCCAAAAAATGGGGAAAAAATTCGTTCAGGAATTTTCACCCGAATTTTTAGGGATTTTTTCCCAATTTTTAGGGCTTTTTCCCCAAATCTTTGGGGAATTTTTCCTCCCAAATTTTCAGGAATTTTCTTCCCAAATTTTGCGGAACTTTCCCCCATTTTTATCGGGAATTTTTCCCAATTTTTGGGGAATTTTTCCCAATTTCTTTGGGAATTTTTCCCAATTTTTCAGGAATTTTCCCCAATTTTCCCCTCAGGATCCGCCTTTACCTGAAACTCCGCTGCGATCTCCCCCCTAAAAGGTAAAATTTGGGGAAAATTTGGGAAATTTTGGGAATTTTTTGCGATCCCGAGATTTTCGAGGCTCGGGGGATCCCAAAAATCCCAAAATTTCTGTTTTTCCACCCAAAAATCGCAGCCAAGCTCTGAACGTCCGCCTGCAGCTCCCGGTGCCCAAAGGCGTCTCCAGGTGAAATTTTTGGGAATTTTGGGGAAATTTTGGGAATTTGGGGAATTTTTGGGAATTTTGCCATCAAAATTCCCAAATTTTGGGGTTCTCTGGGTGGAATTTGGGTGAAATTTGAGGCATTTTGGGTGAATTTTGATGGATTTTTAACGGATTTTGATGGCAATTTTTGGGAATTTCAGAATTTTGGGAATTTTGGGCTAAAATTCCCGATTTTTCTGCTCTCCAGCCTCTCCCAGGAGCTGAGCAGCACTGACCAAAGGGAATTTGGGGGATTTTGGGTGAATTTTGAGGGATTTCGATGCCGATTTTTGGGGATTTCAGGGGAATTTCAGAATTTTGGGATTTGGGGTGGATTTTTGGGATAAAATTCCCAATTTTTCTCCCTTCCAGCCTCTCCCAGGAGCTGAGCAGTCCGGACCAAAGGGCTGAGTTGGATTTGGGGGAATTTGAGGGATTTTGGGTGAATTTTGAGGGATTTTTAACGGATTTTGATGGCGATTTTTGGGAATTTCAGAATTTTGGGATAAAATTCCCCAATTTTGGGCTAAAATTCCCAATTTTTCTCCCTCCAGCCTGTCCCAGGAGCTGAGCAGTCCGGACCAAAGGGCTGAGTTGGATTTGGGTGGAATTTGAGGGATTTTGGGTGAATTTTGAGGGATTTTGATGGGGATTTTGGGGAATTTCAGGGGAATTTCCAAATTTTTGGAATTTTGGGCTAAAATTCCCAATTTTTCTCCCTCCAGCCTCTCCCAGGAGCTGAGCAGTCCCGACCAAAGGGCTGAGTTGGATTTGGGGTCGCGGAGCCTCCGCTGGGAAATCCCGCGGCTCCAGGGGGGGTCTCAGCTCTCCGCCCTCTTCAAGGTAAAAACCCCAAGAAATCCCAAAAAAATCCAAATTCATCCCAAAAATC